TAAGTTTGATACTGAGCATATGAAAAGAGGCTTGTGCACGAGTGTGTAAGTGCATGTGTGCACTGTGGTCAAGACCAGCTTTTACTTGACTTTATTCTTAAATGATAGGGCTATTTTTTTTTTCTCAAGAGTTTGAGAAGAATCAGTGTGAAGGTAGGTGTGAGTAGTTACCCCAAACTCCACACCATTTCTTATCTGGAGAAATGTATCTCCCAATTTGACTCATTTGCTGATGCTTTTTGAAGACTCAGTGGGCACTCTGACCTGGTGCTTTGCCAAGCTTGCTGTGGTGCATGAAGGGACATAGACAAGGGCTCTGAGCTTCAGGATATAAAATCTTACTTAAAGATTTTAAGAGATTTACTTAAAAAGTTATAAAAAGAAATAAAAGATATTTTAAGAATGTTTAGAATGATTTCAAGAGGTGGTAAGGAGAATGTGCTGCTTGGGCTTTAGTTTATATATCTCTTAAATAAGTCCTTTGGGCCTAGATGATTTCATGGCCCCTTTTCGCACTGATGCTCAATGATACTATGAAACTCCACGTTAAGAACCATCCTAAGAGAGAAAATCAGGCATCATAAGCCTAGGAAAAAAGTGACAAAAAGTGATTTTAGCTTTGAGGAAGCTAAAATCCCCTTTTCCTTTTTTTTCTATATCCTTTACAAGGCCTTTGACCACTTATTACTTGTTTTTAAGTAATAGAAAATTTTGAAGAGGATATAGAACATATTCTCCCCCCTTTCCCCTACATACCAAGTGTGTTGGGGGAGACAGTGTTTAATTTAAAATACTAAAGAAATAAAAGCTTGGAAAAAATCCATCAGACTGTATTAACTGACCCAGCTGTTTAGGTCTGCTTGGATATATGGCAAAGTTTTCTTTTCCCTTAATTATCTTTCAGTTTAAAGGGAGTTGAGCCTTTTTGGCTCTCTGCGTAAACCATAGTGGTCGGCAAAACAAGTGCCTTAATCAAGGTGGCAAAAAAGGGAACCAAGGAGAAAGTAGTCGGTCTGTTTTCTAGAAAAGATTGGTATGATGTGAAAGCACTGGCAATGTTCAATACAAAAAATACTGGAAAAACACTAGTCACAGGAACTCAAGGAGCTAACGTCTCATCTCATGACCTAAGGGTTAAGTTTCTGAAGTGAACCTTGGTGATCTGCAGAATGATGAAGCTGCGGGTAGAAATCTGAAGCTAATTACTGAGGATAGGCATGTCCTTGCCTAACTCTCGTGGTGTGGGTCCTATCTTGACAAAATGTGTTCCATGGTCAAAAAATGGCAGTCCATGATTAAGGCTCACATTGATGTGTAAGACTGCCAATGGATCTCGCTTCATCTATTCATCTATTCAGTGTTGGTTTTACTAAAAAATGCAACACTGAGATTTGAAGGTTTCTTTGCTCAGCAACAATATATCTGTCAAGTCTGGAGGAAGATGATGGAAATCATGACCTGAGATCTGCAAATGAAAAAGAGATGCAAGATATTGTCAATAAATTGATTCCAGACAGCACTGGGAAATACAGAAAAGGCTTGCCAGTCTATTTTCCTGCTCCATGATGTCATCATTAAAAAGTAAAAATGCTGAAGAAGCCCAAGTTTGAATTGAGAAAACTCAAGGAGATTCATGGTGAAAGTAATAGTTCTGGAAAAGTTATTGGAGAAGAGACAGGTGCTAAAGTTGAATTAGCTGAAATATGTGAACCACCAGTCCAAAAATCGGTTTAAAATCCAAACTTTTAATGGTGACAAATAAAAAGCTTTATTTTTGGGCCTCCCCGGTGGCGCAGTGGTTGAGCGCTGGGTTGCGAAGCTGCCTGCAGCCTCCGCAGTGCCGGTTCGATCCCAGGCTGCTCCCCGGCCACCGGAGGAGGGTCCCACATGGCGCGCAGACCTCTCCTGCCGCCCGCTGCTCCCCTCAGCAGTGTACTTCGGTCCCTCTGCCTGCTCTGCTCCCCGCTCTGACTCTGGTGAATTCTCTCACCCTCCACGCTTCTGACTGTACCCAGTGCTTGTATAAATAAATAAATAAATCGTTAATAAATAAATAAAAGAATATGAAAGAAATTTAAAAAAAAAAGCTTTATTTGTGAAAAAAGTAATGGAGAATTGCCTTCATTTGAGTTTTTAAGAAACTTCTGCTAAGAGAAGCACATTCTCAGTTCCTTTACTTTGAACAACAAAGTTTTGTTTTGAGACAACAATGTATTAATTAGCTTGACCATAGTCAGTACTACTAAAAGAGACAGAGGAATTACACACAAGTTGGAGACTTAAAATAAGGCCTTTCAAGGCCATTTTGAAAAATAATACCAGTCTTTGAGCAGAAAAATCACAAGTTCTGACTTATGTTTTTAAAGGATCCCTTTAGCTATTGAATTGAGAATAGACTCTACGGGGCAGGGATAGAAAGGATGCCTGCCAGTAATCCTAGGAGAGATGCTGGTGGTGCTGCTAATAGAAGTGTTGAGAAATGGTCACATTATGACTATATTTTGAAGGTAGAGCCAGTGGCTTTTTTTTTTTTTTATCAGATTGCATGTAGGGTATGAGAATAAGATGAATCAAATATATATTAAATACTTTAAAATCAAGCACACCCCACACACTAACGTAGCAATTCCTCTTCTAAAAATTTAGTTTAGGGCCTCCCCAGTGGCATAGCACATTGAGCGCAGCGCTGTGAAGCTGTCTGCAGCCTCTGCAGCGCCAGTTTGATTCCCAGCTGGCCAGGGAGAAACCCTTGTGGCGGGACAGACCTCTCCTGTCTCGCCCACTACTCTCCTCAGCAGTGTACTTTGGTCAGTCTGCCTGTTCTGTTCCCTGCTCTGTCTGTGGTGAATCCTCTCACCCTCCCACGCCCCTGGCCTCTACCCCAGTTCTTGTATAAAAATAAATAATTTTTTTAAAAAAATTAAAAATTTAGTTGAAGCGCCTCCCTGGTGGCTCAAGGGGTTAGGTCACAGTACTGTGAAGCTATCTGCAGCATCTTCAGCAAGAGTTGGATCCCCGACCCCTGCCAGGGGGGTGACCCACATGGCACAGCAGACCTCTCCTGTCTCACCCACTGCTCCCCTTAGCAGTGTATTTCAGTAGATCTGCCTGTTCTGCTCCCCACTCTGTCTCTGGTGAATCCTCTTACCCCCTGCACCTCTGGCCTGTACCCCAGTTCTTGTATGCATAAATAAATAAGTCTTTAAAAAATTTAGTTTAAGAAAGTGATCATGTATGCAAAGATGTTTGTATATACAGGAATATTTATCACAATGTTGTTTATAACCCTAGAAATTTAAAAACAAGTAAATACTGGAGAATTGGCCATATAAACAATGGTAGATTCCTTTAGTAAAGTGCTATGGAGCCCCTAAAATGATTTATGTTTCTGAACAAGAAAATACACTAATAACATATTTCTAATTTTTGTCTATTTTATGTATTTTTGTGGGAACTTGCCTCATATTAATGAGAAGTTGATATCAGATACTTTTGGTTGCTGCTATAGTAACAATAAAGCTCTGTCATATTAACTTTTAATTGGGAAGTGTTTTGTATCTGATATATGCTAGGGGAAGATCTTAGAGGGTTAGTTATCTGGTTTTTTTATAATTTGAATTTTTAATTGTTGTGAAGATAAGTTGTGCAAGGAGTTGAATCATTTGTCACTTATTAAATTCTGACTTGTGTCAGAAGTTGGTAAATTAAATGCAATAAACTGAAAAGTTTTTCCTTTTCAGGGTGATTTTCTTAGTGATTTCTGCTATTCTCTAATGTAACATGCATTGTGCAACAGCCCTGCCCCCCAAACTAATGGGATGTACAAGTGGAGTAATTTCTGTGTAACTATCTAAAATAAAACCAACCATTATTAGAGTTTATTGCATCCCTGAGAGCAGTTCTCCTTGCTTCATTAAGTGAGTTTGGTTTGCTTTGTTCAGGTTTAAATGAATTTTTCATTTAAGTGTTCATTTAATGGAAAATATGAGATAATTTTTCTCGGATCATTGGTCTTTTCAGTAAAACCCATTATTTAATGTATTCCTATCACCGCAAACTAATGTTTGGTCAGAAATATTAATTGGAAGATTTAGTATCACAGCCTCCTGTTCTTGGTTTTATACAATCTGCCTATCATTTTCACATTTTTCCACTTAAAAATTTTTGTTTTAAAAATTATTATAAAAAGCCAAGTAAAATTCACTTTTTTTTGGTGCATAGTTTTTTCATACATGTGTTGACTTATCTAAGAACTGCTACAAATGGAGAACAGAGCTCCATCATCCCAGAAAACTCTGATGTGTTATATCCTTTGATAGTCACAGTCCTTTGGCACCTACTGATTTGTAGTTGTGTTTTTGGAGAATATTTTATGAATAAAATGATTGTAAGATCATCTTCTTTCACTTAGCGTAATGCCTTTGAGATTTATCTGAGTTGTTGATTTTTATCAAGAGTTCATTTCTTTTTCTTGCTGGGTAGTGTTTCTGTAAAGAATGTACCATAGTTTATCCAAGTTACCAAAGACATTTGCTTCATTTTAATTTTTTGATGATTATGATGAAACTGCTATATACTTTCATATGCATGTTTTGTCTGAACATGGGTTTCATTTCTCTGGGATAAGGGCTCAGGAGTGCAATTGTTGGGTTGTAGAGGAAGCACATGTTTACTTTTGTTATTATCTGCCAACCTTTTCTGAGTGGATGTACCATTGTGCATCCCAGTGATGTATGTATTACTCTGAATCCCATTATTCTTTATCCTCATTTGTACTTGATATTGTCAGTAATTTTTATTTTAGTCATTCTAATAAGAGTGTAGTAGTTTTTTTTTTAAAAAAGAAAACAGTATTAATTGTGATGAAACCCACAACCAAAAAATTCACTACAATCTATATTTAGAAAATTTCTCAAAAAGAAACTACATAGTAGTCACTCTTTCTGCCCTTAGCCTCAGGCAACTACTAATTTTCCTGTCTATAAATTTGCCTGTTCTAGATACTGCAGATAAATGGAATCATACAGTCTGGCTTCAGTCACTCAGCATACTGTTTTCAAGGTCGATCCATGGCGTAGCAGTATCAGTACTCCATTTCTTTTGATGGCTGAATAATACTTCACTGTGTGGATACACGATTTTATCCATTTATTAAGTAGTGATCATTTGGGTTTTTGCTACTTTTTGCCTACAAATAATGATGCTTTGAACTTTCGTGTGTAAGTATTTGTGTGTGGACACATGTTTTTAAGTTCTCCTGGGTGGAATTGATGGATCTTACAGAAACTCTATGTTAACCTTTTAAGGAATGCCAAGCTCTTTCCCCCCACCTCAACCACTACCACCAACCCTTACATTAATTTCCTTTGACCCTTTCTCCCTGCTCCTTCCTTCTTAATCTTAGAATTCTCACTTCATTTATTAATGTCCACTAGTTTTGGTAAGTATTTTACTTTATTGAAGTATTTACTTTATCTGCTATGTACATATCCATTTATTTTGACTTGCTTTGTTACACAAAATTCCCTCAAACTCTTTCCATTTTGTTGTATCTGGCAACATTTCATCTGTCCTTATGGCTGAAAAGTATTCCATAGTACAGATATACATCTTCTTGATCCAGTCTTCTATCTGTAGGCATTTAGTTTGCTTCTATGTCCTCGCTATTATAAATAGTATTGTAATATACATTGTCGGGCTTACAGTATTTTTATTTGATAGTTTCATGTTCTTTGGATATATGCCAAAGAGTCAGATTGCTGGATCATATGGCATTTCCACTTTTAGTTTTTTATGGAAAATCCAGATAATTATACCAGTTTACATTCCTGTAAACAGCATAATTGAGTTCCTCTTTCTCTGCATCCTCTCCAGTGCTTGTTGGGTTTTTTAAAACTTGTGCCATTCCCATGCCTGCTGCTCCCCTCAGCAGTGTATTCCGTCAGTCTGCCTGTTCTGCTCCCCGCTCTGGCTCTGGTGAATTTTCTCACACCCCCCCCCCCGTGCTTCCGACTGTATAGTGCTTGTATAAATAAATAAATAAATAAATAAATAAATAAATAAATCTTTAAAAAAAAATGTGCCATTCTCAGGAGTCTGAGATGATATCCTTATCCAGCACAATGATGGAGCTCCAAAGTCCCTGAAGGGGGTATGTGCTTGAATCGCCAACTGAAGGGGAGTTCCATACAACAGCCACCCTCCCTCTCATGAGTTGTTCTGCTTGGTATCAGTGAAAATACAGTTCAGTTACAGTTTTTCCTACCTCTTGCCACTGGTCTGTTGTTGCTAATGTGTTCTGCAGTCATCCTTTTATCTTTCAGGGATTATTGATTTTGCTCTGCTGCAGTTTAGTTGTGACTATATGAAGGAGATGAGCTTGGTGTCTTCAGTGTGCCCTTTTCTTGCTGGACTCCAAGCTATTTTAATTTTTTTATTTGTTCTTTATATTTTTGCCAAACTGTTTTTTAAAGTGGATGCACATTTTACAATTCCATTCATCTGCTGTGTAGGAGGTATTCAGTTTTCCACATCTTCACCAACACTTGTTTATTGTTGATATCATGTAACCATCTAATGATGTGGAGTAATAGCTCATGATTTACATTTTCCAAAAGACTAATGATGTTGAATATCACTTTATGTGCTTATTAACCATTCGTATGGAGAAGTGTCTATTCAGATCCTTTGTCTAGTTTTAACTGGATTATTTGTCTTTATTGTTGCATGGTAACAGTCTTTATATATTCTAGAAACAAGTCCCTTATCAGATATGTGATTTGTAAATATTATCTTCCATTTTTTGGGTTTGTCTTTATTTTCTAAGAAAGCTTCTTTTTCAGACTTCAGAAAGAATCTTCATCTTCTTTCTAGCTAAAATGTAATGGTGATAACTGAGGACTAATTTTTGAACAGTCCTAATGTGATGATAAAATAACTTTTTCCTTTTCCCGTTAGATGTTGATCATCTTTCTGAAGTAGAATCTCCATGGCCTGAACATTTTCAGAAAGTCATTTTGAGCAAAATATCTGTTTAATAACAAGATAACCATATCAAGATGGTTGGAAAACTGAAGCAGAACTTACTATTGGCATGTCTGGTGATTAGTTCTGTGACTGTGTTTTACTTGGGCCAACATGCCATGGAATGCCATCACCGGATAGAGGAACGTAGCCAACCCCTCAAATTGGAGAGCACAAAGACCACTATGCGAACCAGCCTGGACATTAAAGCCAACAAAACCTTTGCCTATCACAAAGATATGCCTTTAATATTTATTGGAGGTGTGCCTCGGAGTGGAACCACACTTATGAGGGCCATGCTAGATGCACACCCTGACATTCGCTGTGGAGAGGAAACCAGGGTCATTCCCCGAATACTGGCCCTGAAGCAGATGTGGTCACGGTCAAGTAAAGAGAAAATACGCTTGGATGAGGCTGGTGTTACTGATGAAGTACTGGATTCTGCCATGCAAGCCTTTTTACTAGAAATCATTGTTAAGCATGGGGAACCCGCTCCTTATTTATGTAATAAAGATCCTTTTGCCCTGAAATCCTTAACTTACCTTGCTAGGTTGTTCCCCAATGCCAAATTTCTTCTGATGGTCCGAGATGGCCGGGCATCAGTACATTCAATGATTTCTCGGAAAGTTACCATAGCTGGGTTTGACTTGAACAGCTACAGGGACTGTTTAACCAAGTGGAATCGTGCCATAGAGACTATGTATAACCAGTGTATGGAGGTTGGTTATAAAAAATGTATGTTAGTTCACTATGAACAGCTTGTCTTACATCCTGAACGGTGGATGAGATCACTCTTAAAGTTCCTCCATATTCCATGGAACCACTCAGTATTGCATCATGAAGAGATGATTGGGAAAGCTGGGGGAGTATCTCTGTCAAAGTGAGTAGAAATAATTTTTTTATTTTGACTATATTTAGTAAATAATGACATGTATACGTGTATATGTGTGTGTGTGTGTGTGTGTGTGTGTGTATGGAAGCTATAGGAATTTTTGGGATAGATAGAACTTCATTGATGAATTTTAAAAAAATTTCTCTAGCCAGTTCATTATAAACCTGTTATTCATTTAATTCATTTTTTAATCTATGGAGTGTATTTTTATTTATTTGGTGGCGACAAATTGATTTTTTAGGTAATGAAAGACCTTTTTCACTGACCTCAGGCTTTAATGTCTATTTAATTTCATTAGCTTCTGATTTCTAATTTGTAGATGTTTTCATTAATAATGATAGTTGATTTTTGTGAGGTTAACATTAATATGGGGAAATGGATCTGCCATACTGGTGAGCATGTAATGAATTCCAAGCATTTAGACTAATAAGAATTGGATAAATTCACTCTGATGTGAGTTTTCTGGTTAAAAAAAAAATTGGATAAGCTCCTAGAAACATACAATTTACCAAAATTAAATCAAGAAGAAGTGGAAAGCCTAAACAGCCACTAGCAAATACATAGATTGAATCAGTAATCAAAAACCTTCCAGTAAAAGCCCAGGAAAAGTTATGGGTTTATAGTGAATTGCACTGAATTTTCAAAGTATTGATGCTAATCTTTCTTATTCTCAACCCTAAAACAGAAGAAGGAACACTTCCAAATTCATTTTACAATGCCACTATCACTGAAATCAGCGCTATCCAAAGATAACATAGATAGTAAAATTACATTTAAACATCTCTATGAATATAGATGCAAAAATCCTCAATAAGACACTTTCCAGCTGAATTCAATGGCACATCATCAAAAAGTTTATACACCTGGACCAAGTGGTATTTATCCTTGAAATGCAAGGATGGTTGAACATATGCAAATCAAACAATGTGTTAATCTACATTAATAGAATGAAGTATAAAAACCACATGATCATCTTAATAAATGCAGAAAAAATATTTGACAAAGTTCAACATGCATTCATTATAAAAACTCAACAGAATAGGTATAAAAAGAACTTACCTCAATACAATAAAAGCCATTTATAGAGGAACTGCTACCATCATTATCAATAGGCACTGAAAGAAAGCTTTCCCTCTAAGATCTGGTACAAGTGAGGATGTTCACTTTCACTATGTATATTCAACAGTGTATAGGAAGTCATAGCTAGAGCAATTAGGTAATAAAAAGTAATACAAGGTATCCAAATTGGAAAGAAAGAAGCAAAATTATCTATTTGCAGAGGACATGATTCTATTTTTAGATAACCTAAGACTATTAAAATACTACTAGAGCTAATAAATTCAGGAAAGTTGCAGCATATATGGGCCTCCTCAGTGGCGCAGCGGTTGAGTGCTGGGTTGCGAAGCTGCCTGCGGCCTCTGCGGCACAGGTTCGATCCCCGGCTGCTCCCCGGCCACTGGAGGAGGGTCCCACATGGCGCGCAGACCTCTCCTGCCGCCCGCTGCTCCCCTCAGCAGTGTACTTCGGTCCTTCTGCCTGCTCTGCTCCCCGCTCTGGCTCTGGTGAATGCTCTCACCCTCCCGCGCTTCTGACTGTACCCAGTGCATGTATAAACAAAAAACAAACAAACAAACAAATAAATAAATAAAATATGCCTCTATTAAAAAAAATATATATATATAAAGAAAATCAGCATATACAAATCAGTACTGTTTATTTACACCAGCAGTTAGCTATGCAAAAAGCAAATCATATAAATATTCCCACTTAAAATAACTTTAAAAGCAAACTTCAAAAAGAATAGAGAATAAATATATCCATGGAGACGAGATCTATAGAATAAAAACTATGAAACACTTATGAAAAAAATCAAACAAGAAACAAATAAGTGGAAAATTCTCCTATGTTCATGGACCAGATGAATTAGTACTGCTAAAATATACTTCTTTCTTTCCAAAATTTAAAAGGAGGAGATATCAAACAGGGCAGAAAGAATGTTTGACAATACAGTAACTGAAAACCCCAATGAAAAACATACAAGAAGTTTGTTGAACTCAATGTAGAGTAAAACCAAGGAGCTCCATACCTCAACACATTATAAACTGACACAAGACAAAGAGACAAAGAGAAAAGGACTCATGGCATACTAGGGATCCTCAGTAAGAATAGCAGCTGCCTTTGCATTAGAAATCATGGATTCCAGAAGACAGTGGAATGGGATGTTCATTGCTGAAAGGGAAAAAGTAAACTAAGACTTCTATATGTGCCAAAATACCTTTCAAAAATGAAGACATTCCCCACAAACAAAAAGTGAGAAAATTACTCAGCAGTATACCTGCCTACCACAAATGCTAACAGGTGTCCTTCAGGCTGAAATGGAGCACTAAACTCAAGTTCATATTAAAAAAACAAAGAACATAGATAAAAGCTCCACAGGTTGACTCAGCATTGGCCAAGCTGGTCCCTGGAGAAGGGAGGACTTCTAAAGACCACTTCCTTCAAGACAGTAAGGAAAAAGCCATGCTTCTCTCCACTTCTCGGGAGTCCTGCCTTATTCATTCACTATATATTTATTGAATAAATTAATGAGTTCTAATCACCATTTTATTAATAATTAAAAATTAATAGAAGGTAGACTTAATAGTCAACAGGAAATACAAATTAAAACCATAGTGAGAGGGCCTCCCCAGTGGCGCAGCGGTTGAGTGCTGGGTTGCGAAGCTGCCCGCAGCCTCTGCAGCGTCGGTTCGATCCCCGGCTGCTCCCCTGCCACCGGAGGAGGGTCCCACATGGCGCACAGACCTCTCCTGCCGCCCGCTGCTCCCCTCAGCAGTGTACTGCAGTCCTTCTGCCTGCTCTGCTCCCCGCTCTGGCTCTGGTGAATTCTCTCACCCTCCCGCACTTCTGACTGTACCCAGTGCTTGTATAAATAAATAAATAAATCTAAAAAAAAAAAAAAACCATAGTGAGAAATGCCTACATATCCACCAGAATGGTTATTTTAATGAATGGAACAGTACATAATGTTGGCAAGGATATGAAGCAACTGGAACTCATTGTTGGTGGGAGGGTGAGTTAGTATAGCCACTTGGGAAAACCATTTGTTAGCGACTTAGGAATATATTTCTATCTTATGACCCATCAAGTGCACTCCTGGGTGTATATAGAAAAGAAAGAAGTTATACACTAAAGAAAATTACACCAAAAGACATACAAACATTTATAGCAACACTATTCATAATAATAATAACCAAAAACTGGAAATGAATCCAAATGTCCGTGATTATATGTGATCTATTCCTGTAATGAGAAACTACTCATCATTAAAAAAGAACTGCTGATACATACAACATGATTGACTCTCACAGATAATGTTTCACTTACAAAAGCCAGACACAAACAAGTTTATAATCAAATTTTCTGTTTACAAAGTTCAAAACTAGGTAATCTTTGTTGATACATATTATAATAGTGGTTTTCTTCATGGTACTGACTAGAATATACACAAGTGTATACATAAAAATTTGAGTTAAACACTTTTTAAAAGTTGCTATTTTTGAGGTTTTATTTGTATTCCTTGTTATGAAAGAGTGTCTTGAAGAAATATATATTTTATTTCTCTGTCAAAGTTGTGCAAACAATACTATACAATTCAATCACTATGGAAGGAGATTCAACTATATTTCATTATTTGTACCTGCCAAAAGCCATAATAAATGTATAAGAAGTTAAAACAATTTATCTTTGTTTTAACTATCTATAATCTAGATAAAAGTATAATCTAGGTCTAAATGTATCTGCTGATTGTTTGATTTTATGTAATTTTAAATATTTTGTCACATGTGCTATTGTTGAAGTCAGGGAATTTACTACCAATATTGAACCTGCTTGGTTCTGTTCTTTCAGCTGGAGGACCAAAGCAGAATGAGCGTGTGAGGGAACTTTTGAGAAATGAAGTACCAGTGTTTTTACAACTACTTTTATGCCACAAAATAGAAATGAAATCCGTTTCTTGAAAAGAATGCCAAAACACAAGGGCCAAACACCAAGAGGTTGCTACACAGAGAAAATAAAACAGACAATACCACAACAGAGCTGTTTTCACCCCACAGGGTTCAAGGAACTGAGGAATACAAACCTCAATGTGACCAGTTCAGGGGGGACAGGAAGGGAAAGCAGAGGAAAGGACATTTTTAAATTTTGGTCTGGATTTTGTTCTTACTATTGACCTAAACCTAGAAATGCTGATTTTGTCTGAAGAATCAGAAACAGATTTCTCCAGTTTACTAAAGTATGCAACAAATATTTATTGACCTCCTCTTATGTGACTGCTACCACTGTAGGGACTTGAGATACAGCTGTGAACAAAATAGGCAAAAATTCCTGCCCCTACAAGAACATATAGTGAAGGTAGGAGTGGAGCAGGAATGTTCACACACAAGACAAGACACACATAAGTTTTCAGTGACCTTAAATTAAGTAGCTACGTTTCTTGTTTAGTCTTCAACTAATCATGTCTCTAGAACCACTGTTTTAATGCTGCTTTTGAAGCCCATAGTCCTTCCTAATGAGACCCTCCTCAGTACTTTAATAGCAGAATCTCCTTGCATATGAATCAAGATGGATCTTTCATGATAAATGATAATGAATACAATAAGAAATCATCTGAAATCATACAGGAATTTAGAATAGTGGTATGATATCTTATACAAAGGAGTGATGATATTGGCTCCTAAAGTCAACACAGATAAAAGCTGACGTTAATAAAAGAGACAAATAGTAGAAAGGCTAAATAAAAAGTAAAATTGATGATTTGAGACAATAAAAAGGTAAACCATTTGCAATATCAATAAAGGGAAAAGAGCAAATATATATCACAATGGATGAGAAAGAAATGAAAAGATTATATGAGAATACCACACAAAAGTACGTTTGTATTAAATATAGAAATAATAGCTGGTTTTTTCATGATAGATGGAAAACAAACAGGTTTATGAATGTGAAAGACATGAAAACAGTGACAAAGATACCATTTTAAAAGGCCTAGATGATTCACAACTGATTATTTCTAATCTTTTGGGAGGAGATGCTATTAAACTATTTTAGGTCATTGTAAAACATCTTCCAGATTGTTTTATCAAATTCTGGTTTAGTCACAGAACCAAGTAGAAATTATAGAAAACTTCAGATCATTTTTCTTATGCATGTGGAGGCTAAAATAATAAAATATTAAGTAAACAGAATTCATCAATGTATCAAAGATTGATAAACTTATCATCAAATAGTTTTCATTTCAAAAATGAAAGAATAGTTCATGCCAGAAAAGTTTTGTCGCGTAATTCACAATATCGATAGAGACAATTATTCAGTGCTGTAAAAGTTCTTGGTAATATGCAGTTTTTATTTATAAAAAAACTGTAAAGAAGGAATAGAAAAAATGCTACTTAAATACGATACTCAGCATGTTTTTACTGAGGACCCATTATGTGCCTTGTAATGTTCTCGTGCTAGGGTTATAGCAGTTAACAAAACTAGAGGAATCGCTTTTTCATGGAACTTAGTATTTGGGAAACATTGCATAAAGAAAAAAAGAAAAGCTAAACATTTAGTTTATCAGATGTGTCAGTAAGTACTGTGGAGAGAAATAAGGCAGGGAATAGGTAGCAGCATAGAAATAGAGACATCCTCATGGGTGAAGTGACGTTCTTGCAGAGGTCTAGAGGAGAGCAAGAGCAAGTGAACAAGACACACAATTTCCTGTCCTCAGGGAGCCTACAATCCAGTGGGAGGTGACAAAAAGAAAATCTCTCAGAAAAATATATAGTATATGAGAAAGGTATTAATGCTTTGGGAAAAACTCAGGAGAATAAAGGGAACTCGGGAAACTTTGAGGGGTAGGGTGTACTTTTGCTGAGAAGGTGAGATCTGAGGAAAGTCTTGAAGGAAATAAAGGAGTTAGCCATGAATATCTGGGGAAAGAGTGTTCCTGGCAGAGGAAATAGCCTTTGTAAAAATGTCTTGCCTGGTGTAGGCAAGCAACTACAAAGAGATCAGTGGGGCCAGAACAGAGTGGAGGTGGGAGTGTGTGGAAGTCAGAATATCTTATAAGGGCTCTTTAAACATTAGTTTAATGAATTTTAATATGACAAACCATTGTAACTATCACTTGTTTAGAAAAATTTGGTGAATCCCTCTACTTTCAACAGCTGTTCTCAAGTAGGTCTGCTGTGATTTTCAGACTGGGGCTGTCTGCTGGTTAGGTGTTTTCCAGTTCTTAGTCTTTCAGATGCCCTGTTGCAGGTTTTGTGGCTGTTGTTGGCTGTCCTTACCCACTTGTATTTTGGGGTTTATGGGGCTATATGGTCATATCTTTTTGTTTTAAATGTTCATGTGGTTTTGGTTTTTGCTATCTGGTTTCTTTGTTTTCAGGGGATGATTTGGTGGGATTAAAAAAACGTTCTGTGGTTTCTCAGATACCCTTTCATTTTCAGGTCTTGGACTGCATACCTGGGGAGTTGTTGCAAGATTTTGAGCAAAGAAGTGACACGTTCTGACTTGTATTTTTAAAGACTTTCTGGTTTCTGTAACTGAGAAGAGATCACAGGAATATAAAAAAGTTGGGAGACTATTTTAGAGAATATTGTAGAAATCTGGTCAAGAGATAATGTTGGCTTGGACTAGGGGAGTAGCAGTGGAGTAAGTGAGTTGTGGTCGTATTTGGATATAGAGGTAGAGTTGATAGATTTTCTGATAGATTGGATGTGGAGAATGAGAAAAAGAGAAGTTAGAAGGCAACTCCAGTTTCTGATTGTTTTATCCTGAGAAACCAGAAGAATGGAGTTTCTTTCAACTGAGGTGGGGTGGACTGTTGGTATGGTAGATTTGGGGCATTTGAGGGATAAAATTAGGGGTTCAGTTTGGACTATGTTGAGTTTGAATTAGTTAATGGACTTCTGAGTGAAGATTTTTCTTTTTGATTTTGTGTCCCACCTATTACATAGGTTGAAAAAGAAATTATTTTTCATAGATAATACAGAAAAGTTAGGTAAGAAAACAAAAATCACAGTCATACCACTTACTAATATTTTGATGTGGTTCTGTACACACATGTATAATATATAACATTTTTACAAAATTCAATTTCTGTTGTTTATACATTTTAAAATCCTCTTTCACATTTTCTTTTCTTTTCTTTTTTTTTTGTGTGGGACCCTCACCCGCGGCCGGGGAACGAACCGGCGCTGTGGAGGCTGCGGGCAGCCTCGCAGCCCAGTGCTCAACCGCAGCGCCACCAGGGGAGGCCCCTCTTTCACATTTTCTGAGCATGAAATAGTCTTTGAATATTACTTTTTTAATTTATTCATGCATACAAGAACTGGGGTACAGGCCAGAGGTGTGGGGTGTGAGAGGATTCACCAGAGACAGAGTGGGGAACAGAACAGGCAGATCTACTGAAATCAACTGCTGAGGGGAGCAGCAGGTGAGTCAGGAAAGGTCTGCAGTGCCATGTGGGTATCTCCCTGGCCAGGGATCAAACTCGTGTTGCAGTGGCTGTGGACAGCTTCATAGTTTGCGTCTCAACCCCTTCTGCCACCAGGGAGGCCCCGAAAATTACTTTTAATGGTATTTCCTCCTTTGTTTTACTGTTATAAGTCTAACTGTATGGACTGTGTACTCTTAACCATTCCTTTTTGCATGTCCATTCCAGCCCTAATGCTTTAGGTTAAGGATTTGGTTTTCTGTCGTAGTTGTGTATTATAGTTCTGGCCTGTGGTTTGGCAGCCCTTTGTACTGTAGTGTTTAACTAAGACTCATAGAAGGTCCATGCTTTTCAAATATGTGACCTAGAGGATTATATTTGCCTCTGTCACTCAAGATTTTGGCATTGTTCCATTCCCTGAGGAGGAATGCCTTCCACTATGAGTTTTACAGAGGAAAGGAAACCTGAGTGTCTTCTACTGTGAATGCTACAGAGGGAGGGGAGAAAACCTGCTGGTTCACAGATATCTTCTTGCATTGCAGGGCTATGACTGGGCTGTGAAAGCTGAAATATACCAGTCTGACAGGCACTATGTTTTAAGGTCCTAGTGAGACTAGAGGGTACTAAAATTTAACATTAATGAGTCATAAACCCTCCTTGTATTCTGGTGGAATGATTGATAGTTGGGCAAGGAATCCAACTATTTAAATACATGCAAATTAGGAGCCTTTTATAGTAGTCTGAGTGTGAAACAATGGGGAGATGAACTAAGGTTGTGGTTGTAGGAATGGAAGAGACATTGTCCTACTCAGAGATAAAGTCTGTAATACTAGATAACCTGGGAGAGATCTTTTCCCTTTCCCCATCCCACATATCTGGCTTTGCCTTGTGCATAAGTGATAGTGCCATTTATCAAGATGTACATAATGAGCAGTAAATTTTGAGCAGAAGATAATGGATCCAGTTTTGGACCATTTTAGTTTTGAAATGTGTGTAGTTATATGGGAAGGTGATCATATAATTTATCATACAAACTTAAACAGTTATGAGAGTGAGTGGAATATGCTATTAATAAATAAGATGGGGCAATTAGTATTAACTGATCCTGGCCTAAACAACCCAGAGGTTGTTTACACAATTAAAAATGTGTAGTAAATGTCATTAGAGATGAACCCATTTAGAGAAAATGTGTAGAGTGAAGAGTGCAGTGGGATAAGTGGGATCTTCGAGAAATATTTAAGAAGGGAAAAAAGATTGTAGTCATTGAGTCAGGAAAAAAACCCTGGGGTTAGTGGCCTCACAGACTTGCAAGGAAGAACCATTTTATTTCCTCTTGTCTATTGTTTTAGGAACTGTGCCCCTCATCAGATAATGAGACAGTCCTCATCAGATAATGATTGTCTCTACTGAGAGGTTATATTCTTAAAGAAAGGATTTTTGCTTTTTATTTGAATACTGTATTTAAATGACTTTTTATGTATTATGATATAAAAATTCTCCTAAGCACTTATATATGCTCATTTGTCCAAAATCTGCTAAATGAGATTCAGTTTAAATCCAGATGTCATTTTATATATAGTTTATTCTAAGATTATGATCTGTTTATTCAAATATAGTGAATATAATCACTGTAAGCTTAAAATAAATTTCCATATCAGGAGTAGGAATACATTAATTCTTTAAAATTGAAAATTATAAGCAGCACTTTTTTTCTTCCTTAGAAAATAGGATTCATCAGAAAGTCAGCAGAAAAGTAGAACAAATGAATATTTTATATTCTTAATGGATTATGGTTTGGTGTTTTCCAATATTTTATTATGAAAAAATTCAAATATACCAAAAATTGAAACACTTGTATCCACTAGCTATAATTAATATTTTACTATATTTGTTTTAGCTTTCTTTTTCTTTTCTCTCTTTCTTATTATTAATCAATTCATCTTATTTGCTTTTTTTTGTTTTTGGTATATTTCAAATAAGTTGACTGACTTTTTCTAAGTAGTCTTATCCTTGTTAATTTTTCTGAATGTTTTAATTAAGGTGTCACTATTTTTGTGCAGATGTTTTCAGTTCACCCTTGTTCTGGAAATCTGAGGTTGCTAGTAATTGTTATCAAAGTTTAGAACATTTAAAATAAAGTCTAGTATAGGGTTAAGCTGATTAATACCCTTTTCTTGATAGCTTTATAATCCAGATATTTACAATTTTTACTGTTATCGAAAATAATTTTCAGTGATCTTTTAACACTTTTTTTGTATTCTGAGTAAATATTTATATTCACTATATTGTTTTCAGAGTGGAGAGATCTACAGACCAAGTCATCAAGCCAGTCAATGTGGCAGCTCTATCAAAATGGGTTGGGAAGATACCTCCAGATGTTTTACAAGACATGGCAGTGATTGCACCCATGCTTGCCAAACTTGGATATGACCCCTATGCCAATCCTCCTAATTATGGAAAACCTGATCCCAAAATCCTTGAAAACACTAGAAGGGTAAGTGAGATTTTTAAAGTGTACTGAGAAAACTGTATATGGAATTTAGAAAAAAGCAAAGTTTTTTCTTCTTTGTTTTTTTTTTGTTGTTAAATAAAATTATTTTAAGTTTGAAAAATTCTATTAGTAAAATGGTTTATCATCAGAACTCTCCCCTTGCATCTTAAAGTTAACGGTGGCTCTTGCCAGGGCTATGGGACTTTTCTTTAATATATTTTGCCCAATTTCTAGGAATGTGGTTTAATTGGGGGAAGATTTATTATCATAACAGATTACAACAAATTTGCATAAATACCAGAATTACCAGTGACCTGACATTTACTTCTAGTTTCTTTTTTTCAATTGAATGGCTCCTTTCCTTTTAAACCATTGTTTACTTGAGTCATGATTTCTTGACACTTGAAAACTATACATTGGTTACATTAGTGGGATAATTAAGCAGGTTTAATAAACTACCCTTGATTGAGAGAAAGTTGTGATTAAAGTATAACTACTGCTTTTTATTTTAAATAAGTTGTGCTCACATCTTTGTAATATAGCTTCAGAAAATCTGAAAATTCGGAGATCTAATCTGAATATATATTTTACCAGTTGAATCCTCAATGTATTCTTTCTTGAGATAAAAGATATAAAGTGAAATTTACCATTTTAACAGTTTATATGTGTACAATTCAGTGGTGTGAGTACATTTACTCTGTTGTACAGCTGTCACCACCCATCTTTATCCATCTTCCTGCTCATTACTCACCCACCTCCCCCCAGCCCTAGCAGTCTCAACTCTACTTTCTGTCTCTAGATATATTCCTTTTTTGAAAGTATAGTTTGGGCAAGACAATCATGTTAGCGTAAGTTCATTGATTAGCTATTTGATTTCAAAATTAAAATTCTGTTCCTTTCTCTGGTATCCTCTTGTTTATATTAGTGTGCTCACCTCCCCACAGCCTCATAATATATCTTCTCTTTATTCTGTCTTTCATGTTATACCTAAATTGACAAACACATCTATATTTCATGAGGCCAGTTTCCTTGGAGATTGTTTCCTCTTAGGCATTACTTCATTTTCCTTTTTTACTTCAATGATAACTATATAGGAAGAGTTGTTTTGTAAGACCATCACATATTAAGGCAAATTTTTTCTGTTTTTATTTTATTTTTATTTATTTGTTTGTTTTATTTTATTTTATTTATACAAGCACTGGGTACAGTCAGAAGTGTGGGAGGGTGAGAGAATTCACCAGAGCCAGAGTGGGGAGCAGAGCAGGCAGAAGGACCGAAGTACACTGCTGAGGGGAGCAGCGGGCGGCAGGAGAGGTCTGCGCGCCATGTGGGACCCTCCTCTGGTGGCCGGGGAGCAGCCGGGGATGGAACCGGCACTTCGCAACCCAGCGCTGAACCGCTGCGCCACCGGGGAGGCCCTTTTTTCTGTTGTTAAACAATCCTTGTCCTTTTTATACTTTTCATCTATAAAAATTTTATTTTAAAAATATAAATTTATCGTGTTAAACTTATAAAACTTAAAAGATAAGAGAATGAAGATCCACTTATATTACCACCCAGATATATACCATAGCTAATATTTTGATGGATTTCCCTTCTTTTTCTGCATGCTGTTAAACAAAGGCAAGATTACATATCTTACAAACTTACTTTTGGAACACACAATTTTGTATACAACACATCCTTCTTATTATTCATAAAAAGCATATGCTTTTTAAACATAATTTTTGTGTTATATAGCTTATGAGTTACCTTAAATCCTTTCTGAAACACAGTAGTAAATGAATAAATGAATAAGCAAATAAACTTTATTTTCCATAGTTTATGTCCTATAATCTATTTTTTTTGTTGTTACAGTTTTTGACAAATGGTGCTACAATGAACATCTTTTATATATACTACATTTTAGTTTTTTTTCTTTTTTTTTAAGATTTCACTAATGAAAGTGTAATTAAGCCAGGTCAAAGTATCTAAAATATTTAAACTGCTTGATGTAGGCTGATAAATTATTATTATTTTTTTAAAGATTTACTTATTTATTTATTTATACAAGCACTGGGTACAGTCAGAAGCGAGGGAGTGTGAGAGATTTCAGAGCGGGGAACAGAACAATGAAGTACACTGCTGAGGGGAGCAGCGGGCGGCAGGAGAGGTCTGCGCGCTGTGTGGGACCTTTGCCTGGTGGCCAGGGATCCAACCTGCGCTACAGAGGCTGCGGGCAGCTTTGCAACCCACCGGTCAACCACTGCGCCACTGGGGAGGCCCTGATAAATTATTTTTTAAAATCTTTTGAACTATCAGCATAATATAGGTAATTTTATTTTAGATTTTTGCTAATTTTAATAGGCATCATTAATATTGTTGAATGTTTTCCAGTTATTACTTGCATGTTATCTTCTTTTATAAACCATCTCTTAAGTTTTAAAAATGTTTTATATGTGTTAAAGTGTTGGAAACTGTATTCTGCTAAAGATGAAGTATATATCAGGCTAGCATTCTATTAGTGTTTTTTGTAATTTCTTGATAATTGGGAATTAATAGCTTTCTTCTTTGTACAATACTGAAATGGTTATTATAAACCAAGGTACTTGTACAAATGATATTTAGAGGTTTCCCAAGCAGTAGACATTATAATTTTCCTACATGCAAGTTGGCTTTCTAAATTATTCTTGGCTTGCTTGAATGGTAGGTTGGGAAGAATGCTGTGGTTTGAGTCCATGTGACTAGGGAATTTATTTCATACAATTTGTGGCTTTTGACAGGGTTTCAGAATGCACACTGGGAAAAAAACAACAACAAAAAGCTTTTCCTCCTATCTCTATCTCTAAAGTGACAAATAATTTTGAGGAAGAAAAGATAGAGTGTATACTGTAATAGCATTTTTGAGCAATTGCGTTTTTGTGGTAATGCACACAAGCTGACATTCTTTTTTTGTGGGGTTGGATTTCATAGGCTTTCTTGTAATCCAAATCCTGTGTGTCTTCAAAGTATTTTTGTCTGTAAAAACAAACCTGCTAACATATCTAGCATTGATTATCATGTAGTTTCATGAAGAAATGCTTAAAAACTGATCTTTGATTGTGCACACTGACATGAGAGTGTGTCCAGAGACAGTGGATTGTTCCCTTTAGTTATGGAGTGGGTGTGGGAAAACATTCACATTTTGACCAGGAATATAGAATCCAAAGTTCCAGGCCTAAAAATGTTGGTTTTCATACAATTCTGGGTTAGTCTAAAAGTATTGGTGTCTGAGTCAGCTTACTTTGGGGACATATTGCCCAATTTTGAACAAAAACTCATGTACTTCACAGTTGCTGTGACTCAGATGATAAATTGGAAGATGATAAATTCTAACATATTCCGTACCTTCCCCCACTGACTCTAATCCCAAAATTGCAGTGCATTTTAGTTCTAGTGCCCTCTTGGTTGCTTCCTTAGCCTTCTCCCTCCCTTATAGGGGAAGCGACTAGATTTACAGACCTGTTTGAGATTCTGAAAAACCTGTGGGTCCCTAATTCAGAAATACAGTCACATGTGTGCACAGAATTTTACCCACAATTTTAGTGGATTCATAGATGTCCCAAAATCCATCAAATTAAAGACTTCTATTTTATGTGCTCCTTGATCAAGCACATGGATTCATGTGGCTTTGATTATAAACTATTTGCTGATGATCATAAATCTGTATCTCCCAGTGGGTCTCTTTCTTGGGTCCTAGACTCATTATTTCCAACTGCCTTCCATATATTTCTCCCTGAATGTTCACAAGGTTCTAATTATTTACGAAGATCATCTTCATCTCTGCCCTTTCCACAGTTATGTGAGACATAGTTCATTTACAGGAAATAGTCCCTCTTTTTGTTTTGATACCAGGCAAAATCAAAGGGTGCCCAGGAACCCCATACTGTTAAAAGAAAAAAATCCATGTTGTTTGTTGCAGGGTTCATGCTACCCATGTGCTTAAAAAGCAATGGAATCAAACACTAGTGTGCTTAAAGATTTTTAATCAGTGAGAGGTTTGAGGAATAGAGAAGGAGGAGTAGAAGAGAAAAAGATTTCAAAAATATGCACTGCTGATCAACTCCAAAACCAACCTTGTGGCACCAGTTCAGCCAAATAGGGCAAGGCCTAAGAACAGAGCTTCCAGGAGAACGAATAATCCAAGGCACCTCCTGACAGGAAACACTAACAAGAGGTTGGGCAGGGCCCAGAGGGGTGGGAGAAAAGTTGAGAACCAAAGTTGAAAATGTACTGCCTAATCTGAATCCACCAGAAGGTCGAGGTGGCAACTACCATAGGCTCTCAGGAGACCAGGATCTTCTTGCCTGCTTCTGAACATCCATAAATGATTGCACAAAACAGTAATGCCCAACTTAACTTAGAAAATCCATTATTTATAAATATTAAAATAATAATATAATAATCTGGAATAATTAGATGTAATTTTTTAACCCTGCTGTGATTCAGCTGAAACTATGGAAGACACTTGTAGGTGAGCTTGGTGTCAAATTACCAGTACCTGAAATAGCTTCTAAAAGTACCTACAAAAAAATCCATGAAGATTCCCTAATAAAAATGAACATTATTAAAAAATAAAGATGTGGGCCTCCCTGGTGGTGCAGTGGGTTGAGCGCAGTGCTGTGAAACTGTCCACAGCCTCTGCAGCGCAGGTTTGATTCCTGGCCGCCCAGGGAGACCTCTCCTGTCTTGCTCATTGCTCCCCTCAGCAGTGTCTTTCGGTTGTCTGCCTGTTCTGCTCCCCGCTCTGTCTCTGGTGAATCCTCTCACCCTCCCGCGCCTCTGGCCTGTACCCCCAGCTCTTGTATAAAAATAAATAAATCTTAAAAAAAAATTAAAAATAAAGATGTGAAAAAACTCCATGCTAAAGAATGGGTAAAATTTTCAGTGAGTATATTATTGGTTGTAGACTGCATTCTTACCAATTCCTTAACCCCAGATTACCCACAGCCACAAAAAAGGCAGAACAAAGCTTTGACATATCT